AAGCATGGAGCACACCATATCAGAATTTCAGTTCATTTCTCATTTTAATTCAAGCCATTTTCTCATGGATTGGAACAGCCTACTCCCTCCAGTTTCCTAAAAGATGTCGTTTTGGACAGCGACACGGTCTCTAAAGCATAACTTTGACTTCTTCTTTTTTTATAAAAATATTTATTGAAAAGTGATATATGTATATTTTTTTGAAAGTATACTTCAAGGCAAATCTATTCATATGGTTTTCGCATTTCCAAACTCAACAATTTAAAAGTTATTCATGATTTATATTCCCAATGTTTGACCCAAGTCTTGTCCAAAACGACATCTTTTAGGAAACTGGAGGGAGTAGTGAACAAAGGTGTGAACGAGCAATAAGCACTAAGAGATAGTATTATTGAAAAATCAAAAGAGCCTGCTCATTTGAAACATATAGGATGATATGGGTGTGGATTTAATCAGACAAGTCCACTTAGACTTATCCATGCCAACTGCATCCCAATTCCCACGACAAGTACCCCTTATACATTCAGTACTGAAAAAGTCGCATACTACGAATAATAAGTTACCAATCTCTGAAGAAAGGGTACATAAGAAATATACACATCAACCATCTATTACTTCAGGATGTCTAACTGAAAATACAAAGCTCTCTTTCATGCACACTGATGTTTCACAGACAAAAGGCAGAAAATGAGCACATGGAAATTTCATCAACTAATGAAGAGGTGCAACCTTCATAGCATATAACGTTTCCAGTCATATCTGAGATAATAAAACAGAAATAAACTAAGACAGCATTTACTACCTCTAGGTCGTTGCAATGAAACTGCTGATGCACCTGCCTCAAATGGGATTTAGGCATCTGAAAAAAAAGTGTCAGATAGCTCCAAACTAATTACAGGGTGACAATATTAAGAGAATAGATAATCTCATCAGGAAAACTACAATTTGCAGACAACTTCTAGAAGATTAGAATGTATGTACAAATGGTTCACAAATCACACTTATTGATTCCCTTTTCTCTAAGAGGAAAGACTGAGTTCATTACGCATACAGAAAAACAATGATGATTACCTTTGCATTATATGCTGCAGCTCTGAGACCAGATTTGCAAAGGAAGTTAGCTACTTCAATGGTTTCTTTCCTTGTGGGTACATAAACAATTGTAGGACCTTGGTCGCCACATTCTGAGGAGCTAGTTTGATTGGATTGAGCAGGAGACTTGGAGCTCTCAGGCCGCGAGCATTCAAGGAACTCTCCACATGAAACTAGAAAAGAAAGTTCAGTTTCAGTTCAAGGATCTAACATACTAAAAAAAAACAATCTCAAAATAAGATCAAAAGTACTTTTTCTTAAATCACTGAAATTGTACACTAAAAAGCAAATCTCCATACAAAGTTAATCATCAGTCAGTCCGTTACCATCAAAATCATCAACTCCTTGATACAGATCCAACTCATTTTCAATGTTTTCTTTTACCATAGTCATGCTAGTTTTTGTTTTCCCAACATTCTTATACCCATGGCTTGCAGAATCAACATTTTCATCTTCATCATCTGATGCACTATCATTCAGAGATTCATATGAACTGCTTTCAGAGTCAGTGTCAATTTCATGAAGAATTTGCTGCCCTTTCCTTGAAGAATTATATGTCCCTATCAGTTCTTGGAAGTCCTTCCCATATGATGACGCAGAAGTTTTGCTGTGCTTTACCTGACAAATTGGGAGGGGAAGTAAGAATGTAAGCAGCACGGATTAGCAAATAGTGGCATAAGATAACTGTTTATCAGTAGGAAGTCCTAAAAACCCTCTCAAGCTTCAACTGCATATGAACTAAGAACAAGACAATGCACAAACAATAAGCAGGTATCACGTTTTGTGAGAGGATCATGGACCTCTTGTCTCTGTCTCTCTGATAATACAAAGAGAGTGACATACAAACCACTTCAAACGAAAGCTTAGGTTATGAAACGAAGGGTAGTATAGTTCAATAATCGCAACCATACCGTAACTTAAAAAAATATGATCACAACCATCTTACTTTCTTGAATGTATCTTATAAAGGTCAAGGAATCTGAAGTTGAAGCCTTCAGTTTTGTAATGTATAATAATTGTATATGGTATACCAAGACTGTAGTTTCATACAGCATATCACAGTACACTGCTCTACACACTGCATTCGTATCACCTAGGAAGAACATAAAAGGAAAACTAGCAGAACACTTGTACGGGAGTAGTTGCAGTAACTCACACTGAACCGGAGATTTGGCCGGAAAAAAGAAGTTAACACTTGTATGGGAGTAGTTGCAGTAACTCACACTGAACCGGAGATTTGGCCGGAAAAAAGAAGTTAACACAATCGTTGTATCCTTTGACATTTTCAAGGACTTGATAATGTCTTCTCGTACAGGAATAGTTGCAGTAGCTGTCAATGCCATCAAAGGAATATCATGCTTCAAGAACTTCAATTTGCTGGAACTGAAATTTTCTCTCAACACAGATAGTCTCCTGTTGTAAGAATATAAATAAAGCATAGAATAATTACTAACAAATTCTAAAGAGTTATAAGATGATGTGAGAAAATAGCAAGCACATGTTGGTTCTTGAGTGCAAAATGAAATAAATCTCACTTCATTATATGTGAAAATTAAAATGACGATGACAAAAAAACAATGGTAAACAATAACTAGCATCTTTAACAGAGGATATCAAACACAAGAGCAGACCTATAGTCAGGTCGAAAATCATGGCCCCATTTAGAAACACAATGAACCTCATCAATGGCAAAAAGTGCAATCCCTGGCTTTTCTGCAAGTTTCTTTAATGGTTCCATTAATCTGCAAGAAGAGACATCACCACCAAGATAGGCATGGCAACACGTTAATAAACTTTAGAATACCAGAAGCAGAACTATTACCTTAATATTGTTTCAGGGCAAACATAAACAATCTTATACATGCCAGCCATCGCTTTACCCTCAACGCAGCTATCAGGTTGCCCTGATCCAAGGAAACATGCAGATATCCCATGATTTGCAAGTTTCAGGCACTGATCATGCATTAGACTTATCAAGGGTGATATGACCACCACAATCTTTGTTGTTAATAGAGCTGGGATCTGAAAACAGAGGGACTTTCCTGCCAGCAGAGTTATCCATGTAAGAAAAGGAGGACAACTGTCATCCATGTGGGGAAAAATAAGAAACTACAGAAGATAAAGAAGAGCATTACAGAAAACACACCTGATCCTGTCGCTGCAAGGACAAGACAATCCCTGTGAGCAAACCAAGCATCAAAGACTTCCTTTTGGAATGCTTTGAGGCAGGAAAACCCAAAATGCTTTTGCAGAACAGCACTAACTATGTCCATTTGGTCGGACTCCCCTGTTGAGTTCTCAACCAAAGACTGAGACTCGGGTCCCGGTTTGGAACAAAAATCAACACCCACTGGCAGCACCCTGGGATCACCAGGAGCCGACGAACAAGGAAACGAAGTGCTCGCTTCCCGACCAGATTCCTTTCTGCCGCCAGTAGCCGAGCCAACGTGATCAGTAATGCTGGACTGCCTAAGCCTCCCTCTAGGGTTACTCAATTTCGTGCCCTTGCCAGCCGGCCGTGGCCGTGCCGTAGACGGCGCGGGACGGCCTGGCACTCCCCCTCCTCGCCTCGCCTGCCCCGCGCGGGCGCCGGACCCGCCCAGAAGGAGCTCAAGCACCTCCGCGCGGCGCGGGCCGACGGCGCCGACCGCCGCGCTGATGGCGTCGAAGTCGAAGCCCATGTCAAGCAGCTCGGCGATGAGGCCGTCCGCGGACACGTCGCACCCGGCGGCGTCGGGATCCATGGCCGGCGAGGACGGGCCGCAACCCGCGCGCTCCCGCTGCCACGGCGAGGCTACGAGAAAATCAGCGAAACCGCATTAAATTTCCCCCGAAATTCCGTCAGCATTCAGTGATTCGAATCGAGATGTTTTGGCGGCGGCGGCGCGGGAAATTACCGGTGCAGAGACCCCGACCTTGCTCTGCGCGCCCACGGCTCGGGGCTGGGTCGCAGGGGAGAAGTTTCTAGAGGCTTCTAGAGACGGGGAGGGATGGAGCGGAATGCGAGCTGCGAGGGCTTCCGATTCGAATCGCGGGAGGAGGCGCGGCGGCGGAGGGAACGGAACCAGGCAACCACTGGCATGTGGAGCCACCGCGACAGCAGCGCGGGCCCGGCCCAGCCCAACCGATTTTCCGGTGGGGGGCGGCCCAATCAGAGTCGGGCTTATCAGCTCTCACAACGAGACAACATCAATCGGGCTTATCAGTCCATGAACAGGTTGCTTATAAAAACTAGAGTTGAATTGAAACTAAGAAAAATGTCTTGAGAATTGGAGAACAAAACAAACTGTATATGTAGTTTCTCTTTCATTATATCAGATCTTCGTCATAGATGAAACAAGGCACTTTTTCACCTAAATTCAAGCGCAAGTGTACAACGAACGATTTGGCTAGCCTTAGTGATCAGTTGTGTATATTGATACGTTCTTTTTGTTGACTCAGGTCAGGTGACCAGAGGTATTCAGAGTACCAGAATAAGCAACCAAGGGCACATAATGCAAGTATGCAACTGAAGCAAATTTTGCTGGAGAAGAGCAGTTTTCATGCACCTTTCTTTACACAGTAAGTAAAAACTGCATGTGTTTAGTAGGCAACGGAGCAGCAAATTTATGTCACGGTCAGGTTACAATACTCTACGATGAACAAAAGGCTGACGATTTTCTGTGTTTGTTCTTGCTCTCCTGGGGAACAGCAAGCAGACCGACCCCCGAAACTTCAGAATGTGTTTCAAAATTCTGTATTAGTATCAGAACTGGACTAAGCTCGACAAATTGTATCTCACAACTAAGAATATCAGAACTGTGTATCAACATAACTTCCAGACACTTTATGGGGGGTGTCCTGATTGATGATCACTCATTTGAGTAATTTCTGATAACATCCTAGGTTACAGGTTCATTTGCCTCTCTCTATCTCTCTTGCTGTGACTCTGATACTCGGATACTGTGAAAGCAAGCAAGAAACTCCTTGTTCCCTTCTGCACCCTTTATAGGAGATTCGATCCAACCCTTATTGCAGAATCCAAATTCTTCCACGCCTGAAATTATTCTATCCAGGACCTGGAGTGAATGGATCAAAATAGAGTGATTCCCAGGTCACAATTCAATGGGAAAACAATATTTGAAGTAAAAGCAGACAATAGACAAATATGGCACCCTTTCTCAGGATAATCCAAGATCCTGATGAATTGTCTTTATTTTATGTACACATCAAATTATCATTCAATTTCCAGCAGTAAATAGCCACTCCATTGCAAGGAAGCAACATATTTGTAGTCAGAATACAAAATAATGAGAAATAATATTTTGTTACAAACAGCTTAATGGCATTACTACCGGAACAAGGTTGAAAACAAAGCAGAACTGCTACCTCTTTATGAACCAGAGGATCTCGAACAATCCCTCCACCTCCTACCTGAACAAGATAAAACAAGATATATTTGATTGGGTTATCTCTATTAATGTACATATAACAAGTAGCCCTAACTCCAGCTGGGAAGAACCACTCTTTCCCTTCAATCTTACCTTTGATCTACGTGCTTCAAATTGAGGCTTGATAAGTGTTATCAATGTAGAATCCGTCTTCATTACTTTGATAACAGCAGGCATGACCTAGATTTCACAGATAACATAAGTCCATGCTAGGGTAATATAAGGCATGACCTAAACACAAATGAAATAAAATAGAGCAGGCGTAAATAATAGTTATACACCTGCACCACATATTCGCATGGGACAAATGCAATTCATTTTCCTAATGCATGCTTTCTACTCTATTCCAGTTTCAGTGAAGCTGACCTCATGCTAATAAAAAAAAAGGGCGTACCCAGTGCAGAGAGCTCCCGCTCTGTGCGGGGTCTGGGGAAGGGTGTCAGTGGCAAGCCTTACCCTCACTTGTGCAATGCGAGGAGACCGCGACTCGAACCCGGGACCTTCCGGTCACAGGCGGTAAGACTCTACCGCTTGCACCAGGCCCGCCCTTCTGACCTCATGCTAATAACTTCTGAAAATTTGGTGGTAGTTATATGTGTGGTTGATTGGGTTCTTGAACAATATATAACAAAGCAAACTTCATAAGAACTTGAGTCTGAAGCCCATTAACCCTTTACGTCATGCAAACTATACACTATACCAGGAGAATTTTCACAACAGGAAAACAATCATTTTTCTGACACATGGTAAAGATAAGATGAAAGGAAAAACAGAACAGACTTGGATAGTCAGACCATACATTCACATAGGGGAAAATGCATTTCCCAATGTATGTTTTACTCTACTGTTTTAATTTTACTGAAGCTGATGACATGCCTAATCATTGTTAAAAAAAAATGGTCATCTGTGCAGTTTCTTGGGTTGTTTTACAATACACATAACAAACATAGTTTCATGAGAACTAGATTTTAAAGCTCAGTAATTTTTTATAATGATAATTATACAAAGAAAGCACTAAAACATAAAGAAAGGAAATTATGAGCACTGAATAAAAATCAAACAGACAATAACAGACAAAATAAAGGCCCTATTCTAACAACTAGGGTAAAATGCATCATTCACTTTATTAACATATCAGCTATATGATATGTGTTTTGTTAGAAAATGTTAAATGCATAGATAACCTTCTGGCTGCTAAATCTGCATGACAATAAATTGGACATTAAATTATACCAAGAGAATGGAGATAAATGATAGGTCCAGTGTCACCAAGTCAACCAGTTCTGGCAGTTGAGATAGATATCTTAAATTTGTGCGTTCGATCACTGAAACACGTTCATGTGTGCGAATTTTTTCAGCCACCTGAAATGGAGGACACATTGAGGTTTAGAGTCATATTACTGCAGATGCGTAGCAAGTACCTGCAGCTGACAGATAAAGTGGTAGGACTTAGACAGCATCAAAGAAGTAAAGAAACCTGTCCATAGCCAACATCTACACCATAAACATGTGATGCTCCATGCTGAAGTAAACAGTCAGTAAAGCCACCTGTAGATAATCCTGAATCAAGGGCTATCTTTCCATCACAATCAATATCAAATCCTTTGATAGCTGCCTCAAGCTTATGTCCTGCTCTGCAGAGAGAGAGAGAGAGAGAGAGAGAGAGAGAGAGGGAGAGAGAGAGAGGGGATGATTGTAAGCTTCAGAAAGGAGTAACTTTGTATATTGCAAATCACAAAAAACTTTAAGCTAATTAATTAGAGCATCACCTACATACATATTTTGGGATTTCAGCCTTGATTTCAATGACAGACTTGTCAGATACTTGTGTTCCAGCTTTATTCACAACTCTTCCATCCACAATGACTTTACCTACAGAAACATAAAGGTTCAATAAACAAGAATAGTTTATGAAGTATGGCTCTGCGTACAAAGCATATAATTAAAAAATGGCAGATGTCTAAAATCTAATGATATCAGAAATTTCCTACCATAACACGGATGTCATGCATTTTTTTCGAACAACCGTAAACAGAACAAAACTAAGCAATCTATACACTACCAACAGAGACATATTTGAAGGTGACAGGAAAGAAAATTTTATAAAAAATAAGGATTTTAAACAAACTTAAATAATCTGCTCAGGTACTAAGGAGCAAGCAGAACAAAAAAGATTGGAAGAACACAGGGAATGCTGGGCAATATATTGATGGCTTCCAGAAGTACAAGGATCAAAATGCACAGAATCATCAAAAGAATGAACTAACCTTGAAGAATCCATGACTGGATGTATGTTCTACTGTATTGTTGAAACCTTTCTAAGCACACTTCATCCAATCGCCTTTTTCTGTGTTAGAAGTAAATGAAATTAAGGGCAGCCCCAGTGCACGTAGCTCCCGCTTGCGCAGGGTCAGGGGAAGGGTCCGAGCACTTGGGTCTTTTGTATGCAACCTTTCCCTGCATTTCTGCAAGAGGCTGTTTCCAGGACTTGAACCCGTGACCTCATGGTCACAAGGCAGCAGCTTTACCACTGCGCCAAGGCTCCCCTTCTTAGAAGTAAATGAAATTGAGAAATAATGGCCCCGTTCGCTTTGCTGAAAAAACAAGCTGAAACATTGTTTCGGCTGATTTGTTGTGAGAGAAAAACACTGTTCTTGCTTAAAAGACAAGCCGAAAAGTACGGATTATAAGACAAGCGAACAAGACCAATATTGCTCAAATAACATAATCTCAAGAAAAGAAAGGCATATTGTAGGCATTTAGCACTTCTTTATTCACCTCTTTTAATTGCAACTGTCTTTTTTTTCCAACAGAGGAACAACTACTTTTGACTAAGCAGATACTAGTAAAGTTAGATCAAATAACAAATTAACAATTAAACAAAAAAGGTAAAAACAACTATCTAGGACCACACATTCCCATATATTATGAGCCTAAATGAACATCGTTGAGTTTGGCATCAGTAAGAGCATCTCCAATGGTTTGCCAAATTGCACTTGCCAAATCTTGGGTTTTGGCAAGTGGCTAAAACAAATGGCAAGTGAAATAATCTTGTATCTCCAATGGTTTGGCATTTGGGCTTGGTAAAATAGAAAAGGAGGCCCACATCCTTCAACCGTTCAACTGTCGCGACGCTCGGCCTGGACCGCGCCCGTGTCTCTTCATATGCTCGGTGCCGAGATCTCGTGGCCGTCGTGCGTCGCTGCTTCATCGCGGCGATCTCCATCTGCTGGCCGCCATCCTACGCCGGTCTCCATCTCCTGGACGTGGTGCTGCGCCGTGGTCCCCATCTCCTGGCCGCCGTGCTGTGCCGATCTTTGATTCCGCCGTGTCTCCATCGTACGCAGGTCAGTATCTCGTTCCCAGAGTGCTCAAGTTGGTTCGTAGCATCTCGTTCCCAGCATCTCGTTCAAGTTATTTGTTCCCAGCCTCCTCCGTATTTGTTCAGTATCATGAATATGCCTAGATGAATACATTGAGTTTGATTTTTTTCAAAAATTACATTGAGTTTGTTCAGGCTGCTGTCTACATGTTCAGATTCCAATCAATATGTTCAGGTTACTGTTTTTGATTTTTTTTTTCAGATGTTAGCGTATGAAAAAAAATGTAGCCAAAAAATAATATTGCATCAACGAATTATGGAGAGTTTTAGTTATGATTTGTTTATTGCAGCAACCTAGTTCTTATTTTCAGTTATTGTGAATTGGGGTTTTGATTTAGGATATATTTGTCGTTCAGGAATCATGTCTAGGAAGAGACCCCTTCTTCAAACGCAATTGGATGATTCATCATCCGATGATGAGGATTGTTTGATATTAGGGACTGCTGCAATTGTTGATACTTTTGCCGATGAAAAAAAACACGGTGGCTCTGTCCTAGGTCGTAGAATGATTTACCGTGACAGAAAAGGCGGCCATGAGAGGATGTTTCAAGATTATTTGGCAGTGAATCCAACATATGGCCCTGAATTATTCCGTCGAAGGTTGGTGTTCTTTCACTCCGGATTGACTTGTTATCTGTGTTTAAATATTACTGGAGTTTGTAAAATTTATTTTTTTCCAGGTACAGGATGTCTAGGGAGCTTTTCCTACGCATAATGAACGCCGTTGAAGCACACGATGATTACTTTGTGCAGAAAAGGGACGCGGCAAATGTACTTGGGTTGAGTTGCTTCCAAAAAATCACTGCTGCAATGCGTATGATCACCTATGGGGTTCCCGCTGATGCCACAGATGAGTACATTCGCATTGGCGAAAGTACTGCATTTGAGAGCCTACGGAGGTTTGTTGTTGCAGTGGATGAAATCTTTGGAGAACAGTATCTCAGATATCCCACTGAGGCGGACACAACACGCTTACTTGCAATCGGTGAGCAAAAAGGTTTTCCCGGCATGTTAGGTTCTATCGATTGTATGCATTGGGCTTGGAAGAACTGTCCGTACGATAAGCAGGGTCAGTACAAGGGGCATGTGGAGCAGCCCACCATCATTTTGGAGGCGGCTTGCTTGAACGACCTTTTTGATATATGGCATGCCTTCTTTGGAATGCCCGGGTCTCATAATGACATCAATGTTCTCGCATAGGTCACCTTTGTTTGATAACTTGGCAGAAGGTAGAGCTCCACAAGTTAACTATTCCATTAACGGCCATGATTACACAATGGGCTACTACCTAGCTGATGGCATATACCCCACATGGGCTACTTTAGTCAAGTCGATCAGTCTTCCTCAAGGGAACAAGAGGCAATATTTTGCCAAAGCGCAAGAAGCAGCTAGGAAAATGGTCGAAAGAGCTTTTGGGGTTCTTCAAGCTAGGTTTGCTATTGTTCGAGGTCCCGTTCACATTTGGGACAAAGATACAATATCTCAGATTATGAGAGCTTGTGTGATCATGCATAACATGATTGTGGAAGATGAAGGATTCGTGGTCGACCCTAACGAGCGTTTTGATTATGGTGGAAATAATGTTGAACCTGCTCATGGACGAGCTACTCGAACACTTGATGAATACATTGATGCGCACCGGAAGATCAGAAACAAGGAAACACATGATCAGCTGAAAGAAGACCTCATCGAGCACTTGTGGAACCATCATCCAGATTTATATTAGATATTATTTCGTTTTATTTTTGCTTCATATCAGCTTGTTTTAATTAAGTGGAATACTATCTGTTTGAACTCATCAAGATTTATATTAGCTTGTTTTAATTAAGTGGAATGCTATCCGTTTATCATCATGGTTCCAAAATTCAACTTTGTCATCCGATCTGCATCAAGCATCTCTCGGTCTTGTCAAAACAGTAGTACCAGCAGTTTTTATCACATCCATTAGATTTGCCGGCCAAGAATTCATGATAACTAAAATTCAACTGAAATTAAGGATACATAAACTGAAATGAAGGTTTCATAATTGGAACTAAACAAGAACTTTAACTAAAATTGATATAACCCGAACTTGAACTAAACTTAATTTTCGCGCATCCTCTCGACAATCTGCTGTTGCATCTTCGCAAGCCATTCACGCTGGATCGGATTGAGGGAGGACATGTCCGCTAACATAATTTCTTCTTTTCCTTCATTAGCTTCGCTTTTGCTTTTTTTTCTTCGGCTTCTGCTTTTTTTTCTTCGGTTGCCACCCGTTTCTTCTCTAGCTCAAATGTCGCCTTCTCTAACTCTAATGTAGCCATGAACCTCTCCTCTTTGGCCTTCTCCTTTTGCATATCCAAGGCTTTCTTCTCCTCCATCATCTTTCCCAAAGCCTCCATGCAAGCCTCGCCACCTCCACGCCTCAAATTTTCTTTTGCCTTTTTTATTCCTTCTGACCTTTTCCTTGGTTCCGGAGACTCAGAATCAACTTGTATGACATGATCCTCACTATTGACTTCATCATCTCTCGGCCTTGACACCTTACTCGAAGGCTTCTGTTTCTTCTTGTTGGCTTGCTTCTCTTTCTCAATCTCGGCCAGTTCTATCATCTTCGCTTTCCACTTGTCTTCTCCCTTCAATATGGTGTAGCAATGTAGAAGGCCAAATGATTTGTTGTCCTTGTCCCATTCAATATACAACTTCTTTGCTTCGTTAATCAGCACAAGAAATTGTCGATGTATATGTCATTCACAAATAATCACAACTAAAATAAAACACCACATGATTTTGTACCTTGTCTTCAATAGTGAACCCACTTTGATTCCTTCGTAGAATTGCTTCATAGCATGCACAAAACTTGTTTACTTGGTACTGAATTGTCAGCCACCTATGCATGATGGAACTCTCAGTCCTCACAGCTGTACTTTTCTTGTGCTTCTCAAAAAAAGCATGAACTCTACCCCAAAAAGATGAACGAGATTGATTGGCACCAACAATGGGATCTTTGCTTACATTCAGCCAGCCTGAGCATATAATTTCATCCTCCTTCCAATGAAAATTTTTGATCCTCTTCGTTCCCTTTGTATTCTTGATAGCTTGCACTTCGTCCTGACCTTGAGTGTCTTGAGTGAGTCCAATGCTCACCATCTCCTCCATTGAGAAGAATGTCCGACAAGAAACTTGCATCTCCTCCTTGCATCTCCATAACTCTACAAAACATACAATAAAAAAAATTATAAACAACAGTTTTTCATGGCTTCCTGCAATTAAAAAAATTATAAACAACAGCTTGCTGCGATAATAATAACTTGCACACTACTGTTTCATGGCAACGAATGATTGGCTATAGTTTTGTTATTTATTCATGATTCCGAACAAAATAATAAAAGGACAGTAGGCTCTACAAATTGACAAAAACAACAGCAGCTTGAACATAATGATGGATAGCAGCCTGAACAACAGCTTGCTGCAATTAAAAAAAATTATAAACAACAGCTTGCATATTACAACTTTCATGGCAATGAATGATTGGCTACAACTATTCATCGTTCTGAACAACAAAGATATCAGATGGACAAGTACATGCACAAAAGAACACTAGTCTTTGATTACGATAGCAGATGGACAACAGAGATACATGCACAATATGACAAATAAAGGAGCGGATCCATCTAGCAGATACATGCACAAGACGATTAACATATACCTTCATCAATCCATCTCGCAACTCTACAACTACCGGCCTTCATCAAGATCACGCTACCCTCACTGCTACTCGGTTGGCGATTCCAGAACATACCTTCACGGGACGGGAGGGACGGAGGCAGGCAGCGGACGACGACGGACGGAGGCCGCGCGGACGGAGGACGGCTGCGCGTACAACGACAGACGGACGCCGCGCGGACGACGACGGAGGCAAGAGGACGGGGCGGCGATGACCACCGCGGCACGAGGGACTGACTCGATCTCATCGGCGAGGAGACCCGAACAGCGCGCGCGATTTATATGACGAGCGACGATAATAATTGAGACGCGGGAAGGAGTTCGAATTTTCCGAGGCTGCGCGGGAGAAGGGCGGCGCGCGGGCTTCCTCGCGCGATGGCAAATCGAGGACTGCGCGCAAATTTGCGCGTGTCTCACCCCTGGATAGCAATTCCTCATAATTTGGCAAGTGTTTTAGCAAACCACTGGAGAAACAAATTTGTAGTTTTTGCCAAATAACCAAGGATAGCAAGTGCAAATGGCAAACCATTGGAGATGCTCTAACTGTCATCACAATGGCAAGCTTATTCAAGTTTCCAAATACACTGCCAGCACAATTCTACTATGTGACACAAGCCACACAATGCCATCACAATTACAATAACGTACAGAGTATGTGACAATAGAATGTGATAAATTCTGTTCTATGGTCCAAATGACTGGCATACAAACCCACATCTTACTTAAAACACCAGTCACTACATACACCTCCATTTTACCGGATACATTGATTTGACAATAGCCATACAGCACGGCGCTTGATTACATGCATGCATGTGCGCAAATCAGAGAAGAGCAAGTATATGTATCAGAATTTTCAGAACACTTACTTCTTGGGAAGCTGAATCTTTTGAGCTCTGACAGCCGCAAATGCACGGGAAGGAGGACAGCAGCTTGGCCGGACCCCAAACAGCCTAACTATGAAAGCAGGGGCAGACCCAGGAAAGGGCATGGTGGTACACTTGTAAACCCAACAAGTTTTGCAAAAAATCGAAAGTTAGTAGGCATGTATACCAGGGGTGGATCCAGTAAAGGGACATGGGTGTACAACCCAATAATTTTGAAAAACTTCAAGTCAAGAGGCTTGTCAAATAGATAAATAGCTTTAGGTTAGGGTTTCGTGCTCAACCGCATTGACAGCATAAGGGAAGGGAAGAGAAGGGGTGGGAGTACCTGGTGGGTGCTCGTCGCCGCGAAGAGACAAGCGAAAGCCTCAGCACCTGCACTGGCTTAGGCGCGGCGACGGCCCACCACGTCGTCTGAGAGTGAGAGAGAGACGAACGAGGAGGGAAGAGGGATGCATGCGGATTTGGAAAGGGGAATACATCGACGGCGAGGGAAAAAAAACGCACAGTGCTTTTTGTGGGCGGTTTTTTTCCACAAGCTTCTTTGATTTTTTTATTATTTTTTTCTTTCTCTCCCTTTTAATTTTTTATTTTTGTCGATTTCATATCTATTCTCTTCGTTGGACACTATCAATGGCTAGTACAACATTTGTTTTAAATAACAAAAATAAATAATGTTATTTATGAATATATATAGTACATTGTAAATAAGTAAATGGAACTTTTTATATTTTATTAAGGTTGCATATGTTTCTATTGAAGCTAGAAGCCATTTTCACAAGGACATATTCTAATTTCACAAACCAAAAAGTGATAACAACATTTTTCTAAAATAGAAACAATTTTCTCTCTGTGACAATTTCCCAAGTGAATATTAAATATTTTTGTGCTAAACATGGAATAATAGTTCCCATGAACTAGGAGCATTGCTATCATCAATAAAAAAATGGTGTTGACTCATATTTCCATGCTCCAACAAGAACTAATGAAGAGTACTAACACTTTAATATCTCGTGAAAATTTTGAGTCTTCCTAGCACTCTCTTTCCATTCTATAATTTACTTTCTAAGGATTTTTATGCTGCAACAGGGTTAAAGATTAGGTTGCAAAATACTTTTGTGTGCTAGAATAGTCACACTTTATCAACCTTAAATAAATTCAGCTAAGTGAGTGTTTATTATCCGCAGGCCACAAAGAAAGTAGAGGCACATAATGGCGTTAAGTCCATAGAAAAACTCCAATCGAAAACAAAGGTATACAAGTTGAAAAGACAAACATCGTTATGAGGCAAGAGCAAAAGAAGGCTTGACATGACAGGACAGGAATAGAAATAGTTTGACCATAAAAACAATTATGCAATCGGAAAAAGTATTGTACAAATAACAATAATGCATAATTAATAAACTAGTAATGCTGCCACTCTTACATTACACTAGTAGTCCTTTATGGGACAAATGGTTTTTTTCTATAGGTAGAACCTTTTTTCTTACCCCTTTGTAGTAAAATATTTTATCAGGGTTAGAAAGAACTTCTAGAGTAGAAAAAACAATGTTTTATTAAGAGGAAAGAAATATTCTCATAGTAGAAAAAATGTTAGGGGGTCTGGCCCATTTACCTTCCTAGTATCTTATGGAATAAGAAATTTCTATGTGAGAAACTTTCGAGATACATGGAGTATGCATAAATACATAACTGCCTTACTTTGTTTGTTCGTATAAGATGCCTAGGCATAGGCAACCTTTTTGTTTATGTCAATGTGTGACTGCCTGATCACACCTACTAGTACTAAGCATTTAGAGGTTGTAGTCAACTAGATATTCGTTCGTGTGAACATGGTTGCATGCTGCAAACCGTGTATTACTTCTTTTCATATTTACATCATGTACAGTTTAGTGCTTCGGATATGATGGAAATTTGGACCAGCATTATGAACTACCGGCGCAACAATTGTTTTGCATGTAATCTAGACAGAATCATATGGGCTATAAGAACTACAATTTGTGTTATCGGAGTATTTCCTCTTATTGGAAGTATATATCTCTCTATGAGAAAGTCTATATGCACTTAATAATATTTTTTGACGGGCAAAAACTGTGGGGGAGGTCCCCACAGTGTCAAGAACTTTTTATAAATAAAATTTAAAGTGGTTCTAAGAAACTTACATAGGAAATTAACTGAAAGCATCTAACCAAAAGCAAAAAAATTGACCTAAGGTCAGCCTTGAATCTAACCGACTGTACAACGTATTGATTTTTGAAATTACAAAGCCCTCTGGCTTGACTCGGCACTCTTCTTTCAAACACTATCATTTCACATTTTCCATATTTCCCATGCAGCTATCATCGAAGCTTCAGTGAAGAAACTGTGTCCATGCGCCTGCCTGGCTTGAATGAACCGATCCTGGAGGTTTAGTGAATGATCCAAATGAAGTTGAGTGAAGCCCAACACTGGCTTGCAAAAGGGCATGTGAAAAATAAGTGCTCAATAGTTCCCTCTGCCCTGGTCTCACACATAACACAGAAATAATCATCATGGACGTCAAGATGTCTTCTTGTCAACATTGTCGAATATTTTTTTAATTTTAACCCTTTTTTAATGTAATTTTAAATCTAACACGGTCGGATTTTTTTTAACTAACACTTTTGGCCGCGCCTATTGCCCTGGCATGGCCAAATGCCCGTGTCGCGCCATGCATGGTGGCGCGGCAGAGGGCTGACGTGGCGAGGGCCGGACTAGGGGACCGATGATGTGGCTGGTCCTGCCGCGCCACCGACCTTGGCGCGGCAGTGCCGCGCCCTGATCCGTGGCGCGGCTGGACCAAATATATACCGCGTGCGAGCCCGCCCGTCCGCATGCACCCCCTGCCCACCCTCCCGCCCGCCCGCCGCCGCCGCCGCCAGCGCCTTGCCAGCGGCCACACGCGCCCGCGCCCGCCCGGCCTCGCCCCGCCCGCGCCCGCCCGGCCCGGCCTCGGCCGCTCGCCCACGCCGTGCATCGCCCTAGCCGGCCGCGCCACGAACGCCGACGCGTCAAGGCCGCCCGCTACTAAGGTGCCTCCATCTCGATTTCATTTTTATTATTATTATCTAGTATAGTTAGGATTTTTTTATTCCCAAGGTACCCCACGTGCCCTCGCAATCCTCGAGCGACCGGCGCAGAAGCAAAAGAGTTGATGATGGTCTGCTAGTGCTAGCATTTGTAGTAGCATCTAGGGGCATCGAGGCTATTTTCATTGAGTATTAGTGTCTTTGCGATATCTTAGAACGACTATTGTTATGTGACGGAGAAAGTACCCCTTCCATCCTAAACAAATGCACAACGAACGACTATTGTTATGTGACGGAGAACGACTATTGTTATCTCCTAATAGCGTACTAATATTTATGATACATAATAGGTACTATTACATTAAGCATGGAGTATACTTTCGTAATAAACTTATTAGGAGATACAAATATTGATATCTTTTTTTTAGTTTTGATCAAACTTAAACATATTTGACTACTCGAGAAGCACGTTGTGTATTTATTTTGAGACAGAGGGATTACTTGTAATTTTGGAACCAAAGTTTTATATTGATTGATTATGTATTTATTATCTAGTATAGTTAGGATTTTGGGTTTAGGGATTTAGGCCAGTTAGGTTAGTGAATTTGTTTGTGAACTCACTAATGTTAACTTGAATTTTGTTAATTTGAATACTCTAACGCTTTGTTTATCAATTTGTAACAGGATGGCCCCTCCCACGCAGCACCCGTTGTATCCCATTTTTGAGTTGGAGTACGACGACCAACACCGAGCACACATCTTGAGTGACAACGACGCAGAGGTGTCCTTGCCTCCTTTAAGGCCCCGCACGCACACCAGGGCGCATCAGTGGGATGAGCGTTATACGCCGTACATACGGCGTGCCGGTTTCCTCGAGCTTGTCCGTGTTGTCAACCACGGTCTTCCGTCTCTTGACCCAGCACTACTTACTGCAGCTGTAGATAGGTGCGAGTGCATTCTTTGTACGTAAACTTTCTTGTAACAAATTTGAGGCAACTAACAGTCGTTCTATTCTTATAACAGGTGGAGGCCTGAGACCCACACGTTCCACCTACCTTATGGTGAGATGACCTTGACGTTGCAGGACGTGAAGGC